ACAGTCAGGAGGTACCTTCCTTCCTGCTCCAATGAGACACAGTCTACCGTCCACACTCCCAACAGTCAGGAGGTACCTTCCTTCCTGCTCCAATGGCATGTGTGTCATGACAAACGGAATTACCTAAGTAAAAACCTACAATAAAATGATATGGTATCTTGGCAGTACAATAAACTGACTCCAAATTTGATATAAAACAGCGTATCAATTCATACAAGCCATTTGGAATTCTTAAGAAATAACCGTTTTGAAATCTGTGGTTCTCTAAGACGTATCTACAAGATAAGAACAATCTGTGTCCTGCAGCTCCTGTCTCTTATCAGGGCCTAAAAACACTAAACAGAAAGACAAGCGCATCCCCTTTTAGCACTTCCATATTCGTCATGCTTTCGGTCACATCAACTTGCTGACTCACCCCTGCCCAGTGGCTCTGGGGTAGAGGGGGCACAGGCAGGGAAGCTGCTGGCCCAATTCTCCGCACGTTCAAACCTTATGGAAATGTTGACCAGATGACACCCCTGTGGGCTGACAGTGAATCTGATGGAAGAGACATGAATGGATCGGCTGTTTTTCCAAATTCACACATACAGCAATCATTTAAAGACGACTTCCCCTGTCTGTGTGTAATTCTCACGAAGCCGCCATGTCAAATAATGCAGCTGAAGCTGATATATTCCTAACACCGACCCCGCTGGGATATACATTCCCAAGGACAGAGTCAGTGAAAGAGACTGATTATAAACAACGTTTCCTCCTAATGAATGTGAAAATAGAATGGCTCTAGATGATGGCCTCATCTTCAAAATAAAGTAAAAATTAAGATTTGAAAAAGTTCTCCAGTTTACCCTAATCCTACAACCCGTGTTATACATCAAAATTATGTTTGATGAGAACATGCAGTGGTAAATATGGCTAAAAAACTCAGCTCAAAGACTTTGCTAAATAAAACTGTCTTACACAAAACATCGAAAGAACTTAAACTCAGATACAAAGAATATTTGTATGCTTCCTTATATATACAGATTAATACTAAGTAGGCTCGAAATCTGATATCTTTTCCTAAGTTGATTTTAAATTTTTTTGTTTTTATGACCCTGTACTCCCCAGAATTATCAAGTTTTTTGTGCCTTAGCTGACACAATTTAAACCAAACACCAGGCCTTAAGGCGGTGGCCAGATCTACGTGGGGATTTACACAAAATCCACATTGAAAAATAATTAGAACAATTAGTCTGTTGTAACTGCAATGTGATTTGCAAATTCAATGAAGATGAAATCAGCAGAATCCCTCTTTCCCTCAAATTTCACATGTGAAAAACTCCATTGCCCTGACCTTGCAATTCATACATACACAAAAACCTGCACATAACTTTAGCTCACAGCGGCATTAATGACAACAGCCAAAAAGTGGAAACAACCCAATGTCCATCTACTGACGATGGAGAAACAGAACGTGGGCCATCCTTACCTT